CTTGCTGCTTCTTACTTGCAAAATTACCTGCTCCATGGCAAAATACATGTGTATGCATATCTATATTTGTTTTAACTTATTTGTGTACATATATTATTGATATATGCATAGATTAATGTTGGTTTCAAAGACACACCTGGCATTACTCAGGCCTCTGTGCTCAGGGATCATTCCTATCCGGGCTCAGGGGACCATATGCGGTAGAAGGGGTCAACCCAAGCTGGCCACATGCAAGGTAAGAGTGCTAACCGCTGTACTATATCTCTGTCTCTACAAATGGGACATACATAGGGCTAGCAGGTTGCACAAAGTACTGGAGAACGAAGTCTCCATGCAGGAGGCCAGGGTTCGATCCCCAGAGCCACATAATCCCACAAGCTCTAAGGCAGGAGTAGCACCCCTCACCAGAACCTCTAGGTGTGGCCTAAAAACCTAAATATGTACATAGCCATAGGCAGATACACTCAGAGAAATGTAGTGTCAGGTTAGGGAGTCCTCTCCCTCCCTCCCACCCTCCCTCTCTCTCTCCCTTTGTCTCCCTCACTCTTTCTTCCTCTCTCTCTCTCTCTCTCTCTCTCATACACAGTAAGGAAAGGTCTGGTTCACTCCAGGACAGGCCTTCCCAGGAATCTCCTGAAATGCCATGTTGGGTCTGCAACCTCCTGCCTTGACAATGCAATTCTGCTGTCTGGGCTTCCAGTGACAGGCTCGCTGAGAGCAACTGCAAACTGAGAGAACACACCTTCTATGGAGGGCTCAACGGGCATGGTTTTCTGGAATGGGATGGTGAGCATAAAAGAGTGAGCTAGAATGATCTGGTCATTGAATGATGAGTGACCTGGAATGATCCACTCACTGGGAACTGAGTGATCTAGTATGATCTGGTCACTGGATGGTGAGTGATCTAGAATGACCCACTCAATGGGAACTGAGTGATCCAGAATGATCTGGTCACTGGATGCTGAGTGACCTGGAGTGACCCACTCATTGAGAACTGAATGACCTAGAATGATCTGGTCACTGGATGCTGAGTGATCTAGAATGACATACTCAATAGGAACCAAATGATCTAGTCACTGGATGCTGAGTAACCTGGAATGACCCACTCACTGGGAACTTAATGATCTAGAATGATCTAGCTGCTGTATGATGAATGATCTAGAATGACCCACTCACTGGAAACTGAGTTGTCTAGAATGATCCAGTCACTAGATGGTGAGTCACCTGGAATGACCCACTCACCGAGAACTGAGTGATCTAGTGTGATTGGTCACTGGATCTAGAATGACCCACTCACTGGAAATTGAGTTACCTAGAATGATCCAGTCACTAGATGGTGAGTCACCTGGTATGATCCCTCCACCCCGACTGGGTGGTGAATGATTTGAAACTACCCTGTCACTGGGTTGCAATGATCTGGGATGACCCTTCACTGGGAGGAGAGTGGAGAAAAAGCAACAGCCCTCCCTGTATGGTGAGTTTGTCTTGACAGATTGGAAGGTCCCAGATGTGGGTGTTGCCATATTATGAACAGGTCACATGATGGGAAGGGATTCTCTCCTGTGCCCAGTGACAGCCACTCACCACACCCAGCCGGTGTGGACATGTACGGAGTTGGACCTTGTAGGAGCACTTCCCTGGAGAACTCATGTTCAAAATGGACCTTTTGTGGTAGTGACTGTTTTCATTTTAGTTATTGATCAATAGTGACACTCCTCGGTAACTTGTGATGACCCATGGGGTGACTCAGCATTTGTGGGTTTCTACTAGCAAGCTATCTTTGGAGCGTTGTTTCTAGGGGGGGATATTTTCAACTTGAAAGTTACTGACTTTAAAATCAACTTTGGCAAAAGAGTCACTTTGTGGTAGAGGGACTTGAATTCTGGGTCCTCGCGGGGATGTTGAAGAACGAAAAGACTCAAGGCAATTAAAAATATATATATATCAGTTGTAAAACATACCCTAAGTGAAAAGGTAGAAGGAATAGAATTATTGAGCTTGCAGAAGAAAAAGATGAAGAGCGATTGTATAATGGGGGAAGGCCAGCTGTTGGCTGTTGACAGCACAGGGAATTGGTTAGACAAAGGAAGAATCTTTTTCTTATTCTGGGAAGGAAGATTGGTGCACTTTATTCCAAACATCTGAAAACTTCTATTCGGGAGTAATTTACGTGGGGTCCATTCTGAGGACCAAGAAATGGTTAAGACAAGATTACTTCCCTCTTTCAAGCTTTCGTCCTGAGACTTTGGGGGACCCTAAATCTACAGATAAATAATGTATTTCAAAAATGTTTCAGAGCATGGTATAATTTAATAAGCAAATCTTATTCATAAAACATCTTAGAAAAACTGCACTGCAATGTTATCATTTTTCCCAACTGCACTTAAAAGAATTCCTATTATCATAAAACCCTTAAATTAAGAGTACTAAATCAATACTCTTTGATGACTGAGTAGAGGGAATGTTGGACTTTTTTCTGGGGGCGGGCTTGTCAAATTAGTGTTTATTTTTGTTAGTCATTCCACAGAGCTGAGAGTATTACTTTTCAGAAAGATATTACAGTGCCCTGATTTGGCATTTCCTTAAAACGATCTAAAACAATGAAATGTCAGCTGTAAATCTGCCACCTCGAACTTTAACGGTTCACGGCTCCCAGGCCTGGGTTTAACAGTTGGTTTATGAGGTGGATTCCGAATAACACTTTCAAGCGTGGCATATTCCTTCCTCCAAAACTGACATAAATCCATAAAGCTTTTTAACGGCGCCTGTAAAATACACCAAAAGTATTCTCCGTGGTGTCTTTTTGCTTTGTTTATCTAAAATCCTTAGCTTTCTGAATTCCCCTTCACGATCTGCATCAAATGCTCGTTGCCTGTCAAGCCAAGAAACTGGATCATGGCCCTTGGCCAAAGCTCCCTGCTCCCCCAGACGCTCAGCAGCCTCTAAATTAGCTCTGGGATCTCACACTCCTTCTCATGCACGGGCAGAAGCGTTCTCTGGGGAGAGCCTTTGAATGACACACACACACACTCAGGGATCCCACGGCTGGCTCTGGGGACCAACATTTCCACCGGCTGCCAGCAGGGGGCGCGAGACCGGGCCGGGGTCAGGGTTGGTCTCACGCTTGGGAGGGAATCTTCCACCCCATCTGAACTCAGGTGTCCTTAGCATCCCAGCTGCCCCTGGCCCCTCCGTCTTGCATTTCAAGCGCTAGATACATTTCTCTTCTCTGCATTGTCCTGTCTGGTCCCTGCTATATGTCTCGGTAAGGGCCCCCCAGAGAACTTTCTGCCAGAAACTCCCCTTGTGTTTTCTGCCCCACCCCACCCCATCTGTCCTAGGAGTGCCTCGTCCCCACGAGGGTAGAGGTGACCTCTGCCCCATTTGCTGTGTCCCCAGCATCTGCCTGAGGGGTGGTGGTGTCCTCTGAGTCTTAAAGGGGAAGGAGCTTCCAGCCCCCACTGGCCCAGAATCTCTCCTGGTGTGCTCCCCATCCAGAGCCCCTCTTCTTTCCTTCTGCCTTCCCAAAACCACCAGTACCTGACATTGGACTCTACACACCCCCACACCGCAATCTTCTAGCATGGCTGAGGGGTCTGGTGTATCTAGATCCCAGCATGGAGGGAGAATTGTATCACACACACACACACACACACACACACACACACACACACACAGTCCACTAGACATCTAAGTGGAAGGAGGATTGTAGCTCACACACACACACACACACACACACACACACACGCAGCCCACTAGACATCAGATCCCAAAGTAAATCTTCTTAGCTGCAAGTGCCCCCAGGGGCTAACCTGAGGTGTCCCTGAAGCCTCATATACCCCCAAGGCAAAGGTGGAACTGAGGAAGGAACTTCCAACCAACCTCTCGAGCAAGCCTAAAACCAGGAGCCAGGTCTGACACGGACAGTGGGGTCAGGTCCTGAGCATGGCCCGGCGGGCCTGGTGACCCCAGCAGCACCTCACCACCAGTGTGACACTCAACTGTCAGGGAATACTGGCCAAGTATCACAACAGGGCATGCAGTCCCCCCGAACGCAGCTTGAGGGACCAAAAGAGAGAAGGAATTGAATTACTTTTAAAGTTAAACATCATTAAAGAGTTGTTTCCAACTACGAAGCAATCTTCCTGGCCCTTGTGTCTACTGTCCTTGGGTGTCTGTCTCATGTTATGTTATTTTCTACTCCACAAATGAGTGTCTCATGAGTGGGGGGCGTGGGGGAGAAGGCAGCTGGAATAGAGAAGGGACCACTAAGAAAATGATGGTTGGAGAGATCAGTGGGGATGGGAGATGTGTGCAGAAAGTAGATAAAGGACCAAACATGATAACCTCTCAGTGTCTGTATTGCAAACCATGATGCCCCAAAGTAGAGAGTATGGGGGGAAACTGCATGCCATGGAGGCAGGAGGAGGATGGAAAAGGAGGGATACTGGGGAGATTGGTGGTGGGAAATACACTGGTGGAGGGATGGGTGTTTGGTCATTGTGTGATTGTAACTCAAACAGGAAAGCTTGTAACTGTATTTCATGGTGATTCAATAAAGCACTGTCGCACTGTCCTCTGGTTGTTCATCAATTTGCTCGAGCAGGCCCAGTGACATCGCCATTGTGAGACTTGTTGTTACTGTGTTTGGCATATCGAATACGTCATGGGTAGCTTGCCAGGCTTTGCTTACTCTTAGTATCTTGCTGGGCTCTCTGAGAGGAGTGGAGAAATTGAACCCAGGTCATCTGGTCGGCCTCGTGCAAGGCAAATGCCCTACTGCTGTGCTATCGTTCCAGCCTGATTCAATAAAATAATTTTTTTAAAAAAAAAAAAGAGTTGTTTCCGCTTGGGCAGGGGAGAGGATGTAGAGGGGCCAAGCGTGTGGAGGGCAGACCCCCCGGAGGTGCCCACAGACACCCACATATGCCCAGGGGTGTTGCTCTCGGCCTCAGAAGGCTCTGTTGCCCACCTGTCTCCTTTTCTTCTCTCTTCCGCAGATGTGGGTGCCTACTTTGAGGAAGGCATGTGGCTCCGGTACAACTTCCAGGCTCCAGGCGCCAGTGGGAAAGAAACAGGCACGAGGTCCGAGAACGGCCTGGAGGTGCCGGGCCCGTCCCCAGACCTGGCCCAGGAGGAGATCAGCTTCAGCTTCAGTACCACCAAGGCCCCATGCATCCTGCTCTACGTCAGCTCCCTCACCACAGACTTCGTGGCCGTGCTCGTCAAACCCACCGGTGAGGCCCAGTCGCAGCATGCGGGGGGCATGGAATGTTCTAGAACAGTCAGGATGGTTCTTGGTGTGAACTTGATTTCCCCAGGACCTTAAGCAGGTAACCTTCTGCCTGGGGTCTTCAGGTCTCCATATCTGAGTCAACTGGTGGTTAGTGGTCGTACTGCCATGATCAACGGTGTTAAGGTGCCACTGTTCTTTTACAAGAGCCATCGGAAGTGATTCCATGTGCATATTGATATTTTTTTGTTGCTGTTCCTATCAAAAAACACCGTCTCATCAAAGGGAAGATTTGAGTTCGTGAAATTTGCTGCACAAATCAATGAGCCATCCTGATATATGAGAACGCATTCTTCGGGTTCAATAGAACATAAGATTGATCATAAAATAGAAATAGAAACCCAGGCGTGTTTGCATTGCTACAACCTCTCAGAATTCACTATTTCTGGGAACTGGGAGCAGGGGTGTTTGGGTGGTGACAGTACCTGGCATGGGTGGGTGGAACTGCATGGGGAGCTCAGGAGCCCATCAGCAAGGGGGGAAGAGATGTTCCCCCCAGTTCCAGGCAGCCCACGGAAGTGAAGGGCAGTTCCCCACATGTAGGAAGCTGGTGACAGTAAGTCCGGGATTTGAGACTCCCTGCCCCACACCTGAGTCCGTATTGCAGACACCCCTAGAACTTTCTAGAGAGCGAATCCAGCCATTACCATGCCATCACACTGCTGGTAAATATATTGGCCTTGGCATTCTGTGTTTTTGCTGACGTGTGCAGAGTTGAAACTGGATGGTTGTGAGTCTTGATGTTTCTGGTGGAGAAAAAAAAAAAAGAAAGAAAAAAGAAAAGAAAATCACTCTAAACTAGGCCCAAGTATCAGAGAAGAAAATCCACCAGAAAGCCTGGACTAACTATCCGCATTGCCCTAGATCCTTCCAGATATAACAGTTTGACAGCTGAGAGGTCACTGCTGCCCTTCAGCGGAGCCCACCCCCATGCGCTCTCATTCTGTCCCCTACCTTGACCTCTGAATTCCTGAGCTGGAATCACCAGGGCTCCCACCTTCCTGCCTCAAGGGTCCCCCCGAGCAAACCTGTCCTCTTGTCCTAAATAACGATGCAAGAAGCCTTGGGGAAGTGACCTTTGGCAGGCCGGGTGGGTTTGTGGGCTGTCTGCTTCTGCACCCCCTGATTGAGACAGGAATGCACCCACACCCACACTCTGCTTCTGCTCCCACCTTCACCTCACCCACTTTGGCCATTCATATACAGGCCTGGGGTTCCCCCAGGACCACGGGACACCCCAACCCCACGGCTTTCCAAGGAGCCTGACCCAGGAGGCCTGTGCTTGAATCCTTCCAGCCCTCCTTTTGCAGTTTGTAAGCCCTTAGGCAATGGCAATCAGAGGAGAGGGGAGTGGACACGTGGGTGTTGCCTCAGTTTCTCCACCTCGTCATCCTGCAAAGAGTGCTTCATGAGGCAGATTTTAAAAGGTAAATAAACTAGGGGCCAGAGCGAGTTAAAGGAGCTGAGTTCAGATCCTGATTCAGGATCCCAGTACGACCTGGATCCCCCAAGCAATGCCAGAAGCCACTTGAGCACAGAGCCAGGAGTAGCTTCTGAGCACTTCCAAAAGTGACCCAGAAACAAAAATAATTATGGTTTTAGCTATTTGGGGTCACACCGAGTGACACTCAGGGGTTACTCATGATTCTGCACTCAGGAATCACTCCTGGGGGTGCTGGGCGTGAAAAGGATTGAGCCTGGGTCAGCAGCGTGCAAGGCAAACACCCTGCCAGCTGTTCTATCACTCCAGCCCCAAAACAAAAACAACAAATTTAAAGGAAAAAGTCAATGAGTCGAGAGGCTGGAGCAATAGCACAGCGGGTAGGGCGTTTGCCTTGCACACAGCAAACCCAGGTTCGATTCCCAGCATCCCATATGGTCCCCCGAGCACCGCCAGGAGTAATTCCTGAGTACAGAGCCAGGAGTAACCCCTGAGCATCGCTGGGTTTGACCCAAAAAGCCAAAAATTAAAAAAAAGGTCAATGAGTCGATCATGTGACACTCCACTGTGTCTCCTCAAGCCTCATGATCAGCGTGAGGGGCTGTGAGTCTCCAGCCCCCGCCAATGTCATCCCTGGGTCTCCCCACGAATTCCGTGTAGACGAAGTTTCCCGTCCCAGACCCACTTCCTCACGAGGACTTGCCACCTAACCATCCTGCAAAACTTATTTCCAGAGTCTCTGTTTTGGCACTTGGTCCCCCAGATTGTGATCTGTCTTGGTTATAAACACCCCCTGTCTTCCCAGAAAGATGGAAAGGCCCCGACTCTCCATCTCCTGCCCCCAGTAGGTGCTCTGGAAGTGTTGGCTGATGGTAATGATGATGGCCAGGAGAGAATAAATCTGCTCAGCACATTATTTGCTGCAGCCAATAAAAGAGCAGCCCTTGCTCCCCACTTTAATTCACTCGGGAGATGAACGGGAGAGGCAAGAAGTGAAGTATCTCTCCATCTTCATAATATTTTATTTTAATGGACAAACATTAATATTCTCCCTACCATCATTTTGTGGTTCTCTTGTGTTATTATTTGAAAGGAATAAATAGATCACTTAAATTTTATTATTCAAGAATATTCCCATTACTGTTTATAGATCTTCCCTACATATAAATTTTAAAGTTCCAGTTCATCTTTTTTTTTTTTTGCAAAGCCAATCATTTCGGTTGCCATTAAGTGGAGCAGTTATAGAAATTTTAAATCAGCTTTATACATCCGAGCCAGCGAGAAAGAGGAAATGTAAAGAAAGCAGCGTAATGCTGATTTTAATGAGCTGTTGAACATGAAAGAGCCTATCACAGAGAGAAGAGTAAGGTACACATCAGTGTTTTTACGCAGTTACCCCGACCTCGAGCCCTCCCAGTCCTTACCATTTCTCTCCTCCCTGCACCCCACATTCAGGCCACCTGGGGTGCATCTCTGTATAAAAAAGTAACCCCAAGGGGTTGGAGAGATAGATAGACAGCGGGTAGGGCATTTGCCTTGCTCACGGCTGACCCAGGTTTGATCCCCAGCATCCCATATGGGCCCCTGAGCACTGCCAGGAGTAATTCCTGAGTGCAGAGCCAGGAGTAATGCTTGAGCATCGCCAGGTGTGACCCAAAAAGAAAAAAAAAGTAACCTCAACCCAGTCAGCCAGACCATGAAAATTCCGGTGCACCGGTATTTTGCATGGGCACTTAAAAATAAATAAACGACGGTTGAAGAGAACTGTCCATTTCAGAAAATGCACCGTGGCTAGACAACATCAGAGCAGCAAAAGTGGAAAATATATAGATTCTGGAGCGATAGCACAGCGGGTAGGGCGTTCGCCTTACAAGCGGCCAACATGGCCTTCCCGAGTTCGATTCCTCCGCCCCTCTCGGAGAGCCCGGCAAGCTACGGAGAGTATTCGATATCCCAGACACAGTAACAACAAAGTCTCCAATGGAGACGTTACTGGGCCCGCTCGAGCAAATCGACGATCAACGGGAGGGCCTTTACCTTTACCTTTATATAGATTCAAACCAATTGACTTATTCTTTCTGTGTGGCGTCCAAACAATGTCAACCCCCTCCTCCACTCCCAAGCCATAGGTGTTTATGTTTTTGGTCATTTCCTTACACTGGTCGGGGGCACACCTTCAGGGGCTAATTCATTCTCTGAGACCAAGGATTACTCCCAGCAGTGCTCAGGGGACCCTGTGTGTTGCCAGGAATCGAACAAGGCAAGTTCCTCCCGCCCGTGCTATCTCTCCATTCCTATTGATCATTATTGTTGTCGTTGTTGTTGCTTATGATTCTAGAAATGCGGCTCGGGAGAGGGGGAACAGCACTAGCAAAGGCCCTGAGGAAGGAAGGAGAACTTTGTTTTAGGGGAACCAGGAGAGTTCAGGGGTGCAGAGAGCATGAAATGAGAGGCATGTGTCTCGGTCTGAGAATCGTGCAGGACTCAGCAGGCACCCCCAAAGACCTCGTCCCCAAGCAGTCAGAAGGCTCCATAGGGTGTCAGCAAGCCAGATAAATCATGTTTGCATTTGGGAAAGTTCCTTTGGCCAAAGAAGCATGGGAGGAAAGGTAAAAGGTAAAGGCCCTCCCGTTGATCGTCGATTTGCTCGAGCGGGCCCAGTAACGTCTCCATTGGAGACTTTGTTGTTACTGTGTCTGGCATATCGAATACTCTCGGTAGCTTGCCGGGCTCTCCGAGAGGGGCGGAGGAATCGAACTCGGGTCGGCCATGTTGGCCGCGTGTAAGGCGAACGCCCTACCCACTGTGCTATCGCTCCAGCCCCCATGGGAGGAAAAGTTAACACAAATGCCAGGAAAACTCACTCACTCGTGGGGCAAGTCCTGTGCCCCCACCGGACATGACTGCACACAATGTCACAAAGAATGTGATGCCAAGTCTGTCTCTGTAGCTGGCCAAAGACATGGGTCGCAATACAGAGAACGTTGTAGAGGCCGAGTAGTCCTTGGGGGAGAAGGCAGGAAGGAGGTACTTGCTGGGGCCCAAGGGCGGCCTGGGGCGGCTTCTGCCAAGCAGGCCAGCGGCCACCCCCAAGGAGAGAGCGAGCATGAGTCAGAACAGCAAGGAAAGACACTCTAAGACAACACCTGGTGTCTGGGGGATCCCCAAGTTGGTGAGAGGTTCAGAGTGAAAGTTCTCTGGCTGCATGCAGGTGGTATGTGAGGTGCAAGGGGGTCTGCGGAAAGGGGAGGGGAGGGGAAAGGAGGGGAGGGGAAAGGAAGGGAGGGGAAAGGAGAGGAGGGGAGGGGAGGGGAGGGGAGGGGAGGGGAGGGGAGAGGAGAGGAGAGGAGAGGAGAGGAGAGGAGAGGAGAGGAGAGGAGAGGAGAGGAGAGGAGAGGAGAGGAGAGGAGAGGGGAAAGGGGAGGAGAGGAGAGGAGAGGAGAGGAGAGGAGAGGAGAGGAGAGGGGAGGGGAGGGGAGGGGAGGGGAGGGGAGGGGAGGGGAGGGGAGGGGAGGGGAGGGGAGGGGAGGGGAGGGGAGAGGAGAGGAGAGGAGAGGAGAGGAGAGGAGAGGAGAGGAGAGGAGAGGAGAGGAGAGGAGAGGAGAGGAGAGGAGAGGAGAGGAGAGGAGAGGAGAGGAGAGGAGAGGAGAGGAGAGGAGAGGAAAAGGGAGCCCTGGACAGGCGTTCACTGGGGGCAGTGGATAGATGATACTAAATGGTGGTCTCTGGCACTAACCAGAAGTGGCCACACAGACACTCCAGGCCAGGCCCGGAGGAGCAGGTGCTGGTGGACACAGTCCAGGTCACTCGAGGTGTCAGGAGTTACGGAGACAGAGCCGGTGAATGCAAACACATTTCAGGCTGCAAATCCTGAGCCAGATTGAAAGACCATAAGCAAAGGGACGAAGGGGAAGGCTAATAAGGCAGACGTCAGTGAGCACGAAGCATGCTAAGACGCGCTCTGAAAGCAAAGCCAGGCAGTGACATTCATTCTTGATTATTCTGATGAATGTTCCTGTGGATGCCAGGAACACCGTGCGATATTTTAGGTGGCACCTGTGGGCCTAGAAAGCCAGCAAGAGGAGGGAGGGTGGGAAGAAAGCCAGCGTGAGGAGGATTGTGTTCCTTTCTATGAATGTGTAAGAGCCCGAGAAAGGAAGGAAGGAGGGAGTGTTGGCTGTGTAGACGCTTCCCCTCTGGGTGGTGACCTTTCAATTCCGTTCCGTTTACTTTCCACATTTTAACGATCCCATTTTCTCTCCCAGGGCAAGCATCAGCCTAGCAGGTTTCCTCCTTGAGGCAGCCAGCAAGAGGCCTCCCCGGGCTCTGCCGTGGGCTCCAGGTGCTCCAACTCTCTTGAGATCGTGGGTTCCATTGTACATTCTGAGCTGTCAAGGGCAATGAACAGGAAGATGGCTGATTGAGTGAAGAGCTCGAAAAAATAATTGACATTCTTAAATAAAGCACATATAAGAAACAAAAGTGGGACTAGGGTGATAGAATAGAGGGTAGGGCGTTTGCCCTGCACACAGTCAACCCAGATTCTATCTCCAACACCACATACAGTTCCCAGAGCCCTACCAGGAGTGCTCCCTGAGCCAGGAGTAAGCCCTGAACAACACACACACACACACACACCTCTAGGCTTCTAATGCAGATTCATTAAGGCAGGATATAGAATGTTGTATTAGTCTGCTTACATTCTTTGTCATTACCAAAAAAGAAGTTGAACAGCACTGACTTGCTAAGGAAATACAGGCTATCACTGGGACAGTGAGTTCTGAGTTCGGAGCATGGGATTTCCTGTCCTTTCCATTTATTTGTGCTAAAATGAATATAGTCTCTAATCTGAGGGGCTGGGATGGGTCATTGTACTGCTTCCTGGATCTCGGTGAAGTTACTGAAAATCCCAAGTATTTATCTTTTGTAAACTAGGCTTAATTTTAAAGCTGTGTGTTCTCGGTTCTTTTAGCTGGTGACTCCAGGCCTCCTACATCCTGTGTTTGTTTACTTGTTTATTTATTTGGGGGCATTGTGTTTGGGCGGTATGGGTACCTCCACTGTGCTCTAGGTAGAGTGTATGTTCTTGAGCTTCCTTTGCAGATCTAGCCCCAATTTGAATCCTCTGTATGATTTACTGCCTCCATCGGCATGGATGGTCATAAGAGTCCGAGCTTGGTACAGCTCCGACTCCACTGCAAGTGCTCTTTGCCCTGAGGGGTCAGCACACTCCCAATGAGAGAAGCAGAGGTGATGGCGACCATTGTATGAGACAGGGATAGAAGGGAAACCTCAGAAGTACAAGGGCAGGGGAGAGAGTGTGAAAGTGAAGCCCTGAGTGGAGAAATAAACATCTCTCCTTTGTCCTTACCCAGGAAGCTTGCAGATCCGATACAACCTGGGAGGCACCAGAGAGCCGTACAATATCGACGTTGACCACAGGAATATGGCCAACGGGCAGCCTCACAGCGTCAACATTACCCGTCATGAGAGGACCATCATCTTCAAGGTATTTCCTGTGAATGGAGCACTTCTACCTGGAGTAGCATTATACACTCTCTCTGCTGTCCTGCCTAGTCATTGCTTTGGCTTGGCTTGATCTGGTGTGGTTTGGTTTGGTTTGGTTTGGTTTGGTTGGTTTGGTTTGATTTGGTTTGGTTTGGTTTAACTTGGGTTGAGTTGGGTTGGTTATTTTCAATTGGTTTCCATTAGTTAGGTTTGAGGGAGTTGGGTCAACTAGAAATGATGTTTACTATAATTTCTCCTATAAAACTTTTCTTTTTTATTATGCTAATTTTATTTATCTATTTTTGTTTTATAAGGTAGTTCACAATATTTGATTACATTTAATATTCAAATACCAATCTCACCACCATTACGCCTTCCCACCACCATATTTGGGATGTTACCATACCAAACCCCAATCCTTGTCCCAAAGCAGAACCGAAATAATATATTTTGTATTGTTTGTTATGAAAAAATGCTGAAAATGCTACCAAAAAAGTATCCATAGAGGAAAGAGTATAAAGATTGTTCTATTTTGGCAGGGGCCATTAAGACCTTCTATAAAATAGCACGAACATTTTGTTAAAGGTTGAGCCTTGTGAACTTTCATATACATATATATATCTGTAAATATATATGTATATATATATTTCTCTCCTATAAACCTTTTCATAGTGAAATAGAAGTACCCAATTTTTTCCCTTTTATTTCTTAATCGAACCATAGTGATATACACAGTTACAAAGTTGTTCATGGTTGCATTTCAGTCATATAATGTTCATAATGTTCCAACACCCATCCCTTCACCAGTGGAAATACACAGTTCTTACAAGAAGAAGTTTCTGGAGATGAGGCAGGTACTCTGTATTCTCGGCACCCGCCTCCTTCCTGTTCATCCATGGGGCCATTTTTCCCTCCCTGCTCCTCCAAGGCTGCTGTGTCTCCCATAAAGGCGATTCCGGTTTCTCTGACCTACATCTTTCACCACTCCAGCACAATATGAATAACTAGATTTGCCCCCACCGTGGGGAAATAAAAATATCCCCGGAAGCACAGACCTTCAATGACTCTGAGTCTGCTTGGAGGCTTCTAGCATACAAAGGGATGAATTGTCAGAACACTCGAGTTTTATTTCTGGTTCACTTATTGTCCCCAGTCCCCATCCCTGATTTCTACAAGAAAGAAACCAGCCAGGGAGACATGATGAATAAAACATCCCTCGTGGAGGTCACCCTGGGAACAGAGCCAAGAGATCAAGGGTAGGAGCTGCCACCGCATCCTGTAGAAGGAGTCCCAAGCACACAGCTGTCAGGCATGGAGCAGCAGGAGGGGGCTGTTTTGTCAGGAAAGTGGAGTGTCACTTGGCCGGGGCTCACTCGGTGTCAGCTGGCTGTGAGGGGAAACTCAGGATGGGAAGGGAAGGCACAGTGCTTATCTCCTTTGGAGTCCCAGCAGTGTCTCGTTCAGAACCTGATGTTTCTGAGAAGCCTTTCCCTAGCAGAAGATTCTAGAAGATTCTAGAAGTGTTTGAAGGAAAGGTCTTCCCTAGAAAGGTGACAGCATGCAGTTACTGCTTGGGGTGCCACCCATCAGCAGGGTGGCAATTACCTGTTGTCATGGTGATTGACGGAATTCACAGCCCCCTCCCCACCCAGGCAGGACCAGCACACAGTCACACAGTTGGGGCTGCGAGCTGTTTGTTAAGCAAACCCAGCCCCACCATTCAGCGTAATTCAAGGAAGCAGGTCATTGGTGTCAGTATCAGATTGCTTTACTGCCATTTGACAATGCTGTGTGGACTGGGTTTGGGTGGGGACATCCCAGTCTTTGGACACCATCTCACCCTGTTGAGAGCAAGTGGCTTCTCTTGCCATTTTTGCCACTGAAACATGTCATACAACATCTAAGAACCCAACAATCGATTTCACAGGCAGCATAGCAGAGGACACTGTCCCTCTATGACCATGGACTCTTGCAGGTCCCCCACGTCTCCAGAAAGACACTTATTTTTTTTTAACATACTGAGCCCCATGGCCTATGGAATCACATATTGACTTGAGAGGGTGGGGATGGACCTTAACTGTGGGAGGAAGCACAAGGGACAGAGGCTAAATAATTATACTTTGGGCTGTATTTCTCCAAAACGAGAGTCTGGAATAAGAGAAGTTAAGACGTTCCACCCAACAGGTGCCTTTGGAACAAACCAACAGCTCTGTAAGGTCTAAGGTCAGCTCTATCAGCGTGGCTATCAACGGGAGTGATTTTGAAGAAGGAGGAGGGTGGAGGTTTGAAGAATGTATGACTCATGAGAAAGGAAATCTAGGTAGAAGAGCCACAGAATCTAGTAGGTGGAGCTAGGAAAAAGTCTGGTTCTATGTCTCAGAATTTAGTAGGGTGCAAGTGACAGAATTCAGAAGACCCGTTCAGAATTCATCGGCAGGGAGAATCCTTCAGATGTCAAAGAAATTCAGAAAGTCAAATTAAAATGTTGGAGAAGAGTCCTAGCAATCAGAGGATTGGAGCTGGCATTCTAATATCTCTTTGCCCTTCTTGCTTCCTTTTCCTCGCCATCCTTCTGACTTGACCTTGCTCTGGGAATCTCTTGTTCCTTCTCTCCTCCCTGTAAACCAAGCCAGTGGCCTATTGGGCTCACATCTTCTTAGTTTGCCGTGGGACGGTCCTAGTTTCCGGGTGCACAATTTAAAATCCCAGGGGAGCTCTCTGATTGGCCTGATTTGGGTCACGTGCTCACACTGTTCCGGGTGACGGGAGGGGTGGATATGAGGACCCATGTCCCCAAATCAGACCTCGTGAGTACAGTGGGAGGAAGGGAGGAAAATCCTCCAAGAGACTGCAATGCAGACCCAAGAGAGAGAAATATTAGGAGTAGGAGAATATTAGGAGTAGGGGGTGTGAATTCTACCAACCACCATGACTGCACTGGGAGTGCCAGCTTTGTTGTGAGGTAGAGACAGAGCCCTGGGAGGAGCCCGACCCTTCCTTCCGGTTTCCTCCTGTCGCCAACTGTGACACCCTTGGGCTGAGGCATCTGGTTGTTTGGAAAGCTGGGAACAATACCTTGGGTGTCTCTCCTGGTCGTGGTCAGCCCAGCTTTCCAAACCAGCCCAGATGGAAATCAAGGAGTAACAGAGAGGAAAAAGAGGTGCCCCCTCCTAGTGGTAAAGTGGGCAGAGCTCACCTGTCTCCTGCCAGGCAGTGAAGCTTTCAGAGTGTAGGAGCACACCCCAGGGGACCTGTGGAATTGTCCTCTAAATTGTAGTGTAAGCAGTTGTACGACATCGTTGAAGCAACCAGTTACAAGCTTACAAGACATAAGGGATGGACCTTAACAGCTTATGTGGGCACACGGTTCACTGCTCCCAATGAGAAGGGCCTGCCCTCCCTTTCCTCCCATTCTCTTCCGTTCTCTTCCCCAACAATCCTAGTTTTCACTGAGTCTGAGAACTGTTGTATTGTTTTTCACCAGTACCTTTGCTTTAAGTAGTTACATCCTACTTAGCAGAGAGGCCATCTGGCAATTGCCTTCTAAGCTCCAACTTAATTCACGTAGCCTATTCCCTTCAAATTCCATTTGTTTTGTCCCAAGTGGTGCCATTTAATCATTTTTAATGGCAGAGTCATGTTCCTTTGAGGAACTAGACCACTCTATCATGATCTGGTCTTCTGGCTGTGGACGTTTAGATTGTTTCTATCTCAGCTATTGTAAATGAAGTTGCTATGAACATAGAGATGCCAGAAATATTTAGGTTAGAGTTTTCATGTCCCTCAGATAAACGCTGAGAGTGAGATCACTGAGTCATAAAAGTGGAATTTCCACTTTTATTTAAGAAATCTACACTGTCTTCCATAGAGGCCATCCTACCTCTCATATACACCTCTTATCCATAGTTTATACACTCATCACAGAGCCCCACGGTTCCTTCGCCCTTCCTCACCAAGGCTCATTGTTTCCCATCTTTTGGATAGAAGCCATCCTCATGGGATTACGGTGACATCTCACTGTAGATTTAATATGCCTTTCCCGGAAAATAATCCTGAGCATTTTCCATGCATCTAGGACCCATCGGTCTTTAGCGTCTGGAAACTATTTACTAATCTATTTTAAGAAATCTATAACCTCAAAACTGGGGGAGGGGAGGCATTCTGGAGAGAAAGCTCAAAGGGGCATATGCCTCATGCATGTGTGGCCTGAGGAGGGTCCCTGGAACCACAAATGCCACACCAATACCTCCTGGTATAGTCTCAGTAACCCCTAGCATTCATTGCCAGATATGAGCATCAAACCACCAGAAATGTAGCATCGGGCTGAATGTCATAACCCAAAGCACTGCTGGACCAGGCCCAGAGAAGAAACTGAAGAGAGTTAAATAGTCATAGGATAATTATGATTAACTTTATAAAGGGTTTATAGTTTGCTGCAGGTTGACTTTAGGTTGACCTTGCGACCTCTCACTACTTTCGGACTAGCACAGCGGTAGGGCATTCGCCTTGCACACAGCCAGCCCGGCCAAGCTGGGTTCGATTTCTCCACCCCTCTCAGAGAGCCCAGCAAGCTACCAAGAGTATCTCGCCCACACAGCAAAGCCTGGCATGCTCCCCTTGACGTGTTCAATATGCCAAACACAGTAACAACAAGTCCCAAAATGGAGACATTACTGGGCCCGCTCGAGCAAATCGATGAACAACGGGAGAACAGTTTGTTTGTTTATTATATAAAGGGTTTCTAAATGATTTCATTTTCTCTCATTCTTTTATTTCTCTATCTTCTATTTTTAAGTATAAATTACATTTTTATAACAGAACAGAGCAGACTATAAATGTGTGTATGTGTGTGTACAGACATACAAAATAGCAAAGTAATTTAAAATTAGTATGTGCTTCAGGCATTAAACTATGATCAAAATACTAAAGTAATTTAGAATTAGTAAGTGCTTCAGGCGTTAAACCATCTGGTCCCATGACTGAGTGTCATTAGGAGTGGTC